GCGTCGGCGACGCTCGACAAGGTTATGAGACTCTCGGCGGCGCTTCCGCCTGGCTTCGTGGGTCGAGGCGGCAGCTGACGCGCACCGAGTTTTGCGGGCATTGAAACACCCCCATTAAGGATGAGGTCGTTTATCTGGTTGCCGGGGATCCCGTGCTGAAGTGGCGAGGAAAAACCGGAGCCCGGGAAGGAGGACATACTGTTTGGCGTCTGGATCCACTGGCCCGAATGCGATTTTTCGTGATGCGAGCCCGTTGTTCTGATCGGTTGTGCCCCGAATGGGGTCTCAGTGTTGGCTGGCATGCCAGCCATAGCCGCCGACTTGGGTGTTAGGGAACCTCTAGCGTTGGTCGAAGGCTTGCGTTGCATGGCTCCTGCTAGGCGGCTGCGAGCCTGTGCCTGTGCTTGTGCCTGGGCCTGGGCACTGAGAAAGTTCTGGCCGTTGTTCTCGTTGACGTCTGGGTTCGCAAGAGGAGACCCTGCATACGATAGCGGGGATTTCAGCGCACCAAAGGACTGAGCGTGCCCCATTTGTCGGTAGCCAAAGTTGTGGGCAAAAGGGCTCTGGATGGGATCGCCATCTGGTGTGCTCGAGTAGCCATTCATCGACTGCTGGTTGATTGGCAATCCGTGGTGGGAGCCGTAAACTCCATGGGAGAAACTAACGCCCATATCATTGATCCCACCATATTCCTGAACGCCTGCCTGGGCGTCTGTTGGGCTGTTTAGTCCCTCCAAGAGTTCATCGTCTCTAAAGATCGCTGAATTTGTTGAGTAATTGTCTGATGAACCATGATTGAAGTGGTGTTGTTGAAACGAGGCAGAGTAATTCCCGGGCATGGCTAGTTCGTTCGGGTCAATCCCGCCATGCCCGTTTATCGGGAAGCCGTGTTGTGCCATGGTCATGTGGAATCAATCCAGCAATGTAACGAAGGTTCTGCAGTGAAGGCCTGCTCGGGGTGTCAATCCTTAGTGTGCAAAGATGACGTGTTGTGTTTGTTGCAAGGCGAGAGCCTGGGGAGACACATGTTAACTTGATGTTACAAAACGCAGAGGGCACACGCCACCGAAGCAAGCTGAGATTGTGCGCCCGAAGCCTTATCGGCGAAGAAATAAAATGACATAAAGTTGCGGAACGCACCTAAAGATAATATATTTGGTTTTGG